CATCCCCTTCCCACGGTTAATGCAGATTTGAATCTTATTCCCAGAGAGCATGCATTGGCCAAAAAGCTTAGAAACCTTTTACAAAAAACAAGACTGAAGAACCTTTTAAAATTAAAAAGAGCGTATTGTGGATTAGTAAACATTTAAAATAAAAATCATTACTAGATACTTCACAGATGAATGGAAGAGCCTCCGGTCGTGAAATCCTGAGTGGTGAGCTGGCCACACTGACCGGCACCCAAGGCCACTGGGCCAGGTGTGGGGGCCGCGGTGGGTCTCAGGCTGAACGCACGGAGGCGGCAATGGAGAGGCGCCGAGGTCCCGGGCAGGGAAGGCCAGCGTTCAGGGACCCGCAGGAGAAAGAAGCAAGAGGCACGGACAGCAACTAGGAAATACACAGCCGTCCAGCTAACGCTCTATTTCTAACCTCGCGGTGACGGGATGGAGAGGGCGGTGTGAGTGGCAGGCACCTGGAGTCTCGCCCGTGACTCCCCGCCACGTCCACCCAGCTTGGTCGCCCTTGTCGTGGGCACAAAGCAGGCCAGGTGTCAGGTCCTGTCACGTGCTAACGAGGGGCCCGGGGTAGCTCTATCCCTGGAAGCACACCTCCCCCTCAGGACAGCCAGTGACACCGTCACCGCCTCACGGGGAACGCCCACTGTGAACACCCTTGCCCACGAGGAGAAAGAGGCCAATGAGCACCTTATCCCTGTAACGCCCACGGCACCCAGGGGACCGGGACGCCCGGCCAGGGCCTCTCCCACCCACAGTCTCTTCCCTCCGGCAGCCCTGGAGGCATCAGGGTGGAACCACCACCCATCTTCTAGAGGAGGCTCCACGCCTCCCTGGACACACATGCGGACCGACCCCTGACTCCAGATGGAGGTCTCCGGCCGCCCCTGGGCCCCCTTGCCCCTCAGTCTCACTCAGGGCAGGTGGTGTGGCTTCACGGATTTACACGGACGCTGGCTGTAACACATGGGAGCTGCGAAGCGCCAGGGGAGCGAGGAGGTTGCCCAGAAAACGTCCTGCTCGGATGAAACACGGCCAGGGCCCAGCTGGGCTCCAGCGCCGCCGGGCTGCAGGCGTTTATTTCATTTCTTGGCTGGAACCTTTCATTCCTGTCCTGTCTCTTCTGGTCTCCCTCCCTCTCTGTCTCCCTTCCTTCTCCTGGCAGCCACAGTCCCATGCTGCGTGCACACACACATACCCACCACATGAACACACACAACATGTGCACACACACAGTGTACACACTCACTCACACAACACATGCATGCACACAACACACACACAACACACACACACAAGGACACACAACACACACAACACAGATATTCACACAACACACACAAAACACACACATGAGGACACATACACACAACACACACAAGAACACACACAAGGACACATGCACAACACATGCACACACACATGCGCGCACACAAGGACACACCCAACACACGCACACACACACCACAAACACACACACAATACACACACAACACAGACACACAAGGACACACTCACACACAAAGGGCACACACACGAGGACACACTCACACACACAAGGACACACACACACACAAGGATACACTCACACACAAAGGGCACACACACAAGGACACACACACACAAGGACACACTCACACACACACAATACATGCACACACACGGACACATACACATCCCAGCTCATCCCACCACTAAAAAGTCATCTCACCCTCACAAGCTTGGTCTCGGCAGGTGGCACAATTTAAAACTGACACGGAGGGAACACCCTGTCGGGCCAGCCTTTGATTCATCCACCGCACATTAAACCAGGAACAAAATAAACAAGTTCACAGGGAGCGAACGAGAGGCTCTTTCAAGCTGCGTTTTGAAGCCGTGTCTGCGCGGCTTGTGCAATCAGACGTGATTGTCTGCACATGTTCGGTTACGACACTCCAGACACGGTGCCCAGCCCACAGGGTGACGTCCGAGCCCGTGCTCCCCGCTTAGGAAAGATGCCAACGCGGCTGCCCGCCGTTTCCTGCCCCGGCACGCAGACGCCTCGGCTCCTTTGTGAGCGCGCCACACTCTCATCCCCATCACACAGAGCAAAGCTCTTTCTGGAAAACTGTGTGTCAGGAAGTGGGTGAATGCATATGGCCTGGAGCACCCCCCCCCCGCCCCCCGCGCCAGCACTTAGCTCATCTGGAACCCATTTCCGAGCCCACACTTCTCCCCACGGATGGGTGGTTTCTAGGGGGGCACTGGTGACTCACCGGTCATACAGCAACTCGTGTCAGCACCAGAGGACGAGGGTCTTCGACTGCCCAGAGCCCACGAGGGTCAGCTCTGACTCCCTGCCCGCTTTGATCTCTGACCGAGACGGCCCATCCCCTGTTGGCGTGGCTGCTGCCTCTGGGCTGCCCCCAGCGGCCCCAACCCTCTAGTGCAGCGGTTCTCAACCTGTGGGTCGCGACCCTTTGGGGGTTGAACGACCCTTTCACAGGGGTCGCCTAAGACCATCGGAAAACATATATAATTACATATTGTTTTTGTGATTAATCACTATGCTTTAATTATGTTCAATTTGTAACAATGAAAATACATCCTGCATATCAGATATTTACATGACGATTCATAACAGTAGCAAAATTACAGTTATGAAGTAGCAACGAAAATAATTTTATGGTTGAGGGTCACCACAACATGAGGAACTGTATTAAAGGGTCGCGGCATTAGGAAGGGTGAGAACCACTGCTCTAGTGGATCATTCGTGGTGAGCCCAGACTCTCGGGACAGAACGTCCCAGCCAGCACGTGCTCCCGCTCTCCTCTTGTCCGGGCTGACTCCTCGCCCTCACACCCAGGCCTCCTCTGACGGAGCAGCTGGGGTTCCCTGGTCCGCAGTCCATGCCACTGGCCACCACGGAGCGGAGGGCCCCGTCACCTCCGTGGCAGACGCGACACCCCAGTCAGTACAGCGAGGATGACCTGTCATGCCTCTTTCCCTTCCTTCCTTCCCTCCTTCCTTCCTTCCTTCCTTCCTTCCTTCCTTCCTTCCTTC